AACCAAACTAGAACATAAGAACGGTCACGCTGGGTCAGACCAAAGGTCCCTCTAGCCAAGTATCCTGTCTTCCGACAGTGGTCAGTGCCAGGTGCCCCAGAGGGAATGAACAGAATGTGTAATCATCAAGTGATCCTTTCCCCTGATGCCCATTCCCAGCTTCTGGCAAACAGAGTCTAGGGACACAATCCCGGCCCATCTTGGCTAATAGCCCTTGAGGGACCCATTCTCTGTGAATTTATCTAGTTCTTTTTTTAACCCTGTTATAGTTTTGGCCTTCACAACATCCTCTGGCAAAGAGTTCCATAGGTTAACTGTATGTTGTGTGAAGAAATACTTCCTTTTGTTTGTTTTAAACCTGCTGCCTATTACTTTCATTTGGTGACCCCCTAGTTCTTGTGTTATGAGAAGGAATAAATAACACCTCCTTATTTGATAGCATTCTCAGAAAAGAGCAAGCTGATTTTCAGAAAGGGTGTGGATGCACAGACCAGATCTTCACTTTACAAAACATAATAGAACAGTGCTTAGAATGGCAACGGCAACTCTACATACATTTCAAAGACTTTGAGAAGGCTTTTGATAGCATTCACAGGACCAGCCTATGGCGCATTCTGCAGGCATATGGAATTCCTTTCCATATAATCAACATCATCAAAAGCTTCTATTTCAACTTTACATGCAGTGTTGATCACAGTGAGCTGAGTTTTGAAGTCAAAACAGGAGTACGTCAGGGGTGTGTCATGTCTGCAATCCTCTTCAATACTGCCATCAACTGGGTAATGCGGCGTACAACAGAAGACATGCCAAGAGGCATTAAATGGACACTCTTCTCATCCCTTGAAGACCTGGACTTTGCAGATGATGTCACTGTCCTATCACATACCCAACACCATATACAAGAAAAAACAACTCGACTCAACGCGTTCAGCCAGCAAATTGGACTGAAAATCAACCACAATAAGACAGATATCATGGCCTTTAATATTGCCTCGCCATCACCAGTACGGATAGAGGATTATGTTCTCACCAATGTAGAAACATTCACATACTTGGGCAGCACCATTAGCCAGGATGGTGGAACAAGCCAGGACATCCGGAACAAAATCAATAAAGCAAGGAACACCTTCAGGAGCTAAAATACAGTCTGGAAATCATCAAAATACACCACCAAAAACAAACTGAAGATTTATCAGAGCGGCGTACTTTCAACACTACTTTATAGTGCAGAATGCTGAGGAATGAGAAAGTATGACATGTCCAAACTGTCTTCATTCCATACAACCTTCCTCAGAAAAATCCTCCATATCTTTTGGCCCAGAACAATCTCAAACCAAGATCTATTGACACAGTGCAGCCAAGAGGATATGAGTACCATCGTTGCCAAGAGGCATTGCAGCTGGATCAGTCATGTGCTTCGGATGGAAACGGATTCCATCACCAGATTAGCAATAAGATGGACACCTGAAGGCAAGCGAAAACGAGGCCGCCTGAAAACAACATGGCGAAGAGCTGTGGAAACCGAGCTGAAATATCTGGGGCACAGCTGGGGAACCATTGAAAGACTTTCCAGAAACAGACATAAGTGGAGGAGCTTTGTCGCTACCCTAAACGCAATAGGAACATGATGATGATGATTTACTTTCTCCACACCAGTTATGATTTTATAGACCTCTATCATATCCCCCCTTAATCATCTCTTTTCCAAGCTGAAAAGTCCCAGTCTTATTAATCTCTCTTCATACAGAAGCCATTCCATACCCCTAATCATTTTTATTGTCCTTTTCTGAACATTTTCCAATTCCAATCTTTTTTGAGATGGAGTGACCACATCTGCATGCAGTATTCAACTAAATCTCCAACTCTGAATTTCAGTACAAAGACTTCAACTGGTTCATATTACCTGAGGAACAAATGAAGAGCATTAAAGAACTACAAATTCCTAATCAGGGCCAGCTCTACCATTTTTGCTGCCCCAAGCCAAAAAAAAAAAAAAAAGCCGCAGAATGGACAGAATGCCACCCCTTCCTCCTGCTTCGGCCCTGTTCCTAATGTATTTTTCTCACCTAATGTATTTCACTTGGGATTGAGGCCAAGGTTTCAAAAATAGGAGCCTAAAATTGGTGCTGCACCCTTAGCAGCTCCCATTGCAGGCAGAGCCCAGCTGTTCTGGTTCACAGGGATCATCCAGTGACATAGGAGCCAGTCTGCCCAGCACTTACCCTCTCCCTGCTGCTGGAATAGAGGGCATGTCTGGAGCAAACAGGCGTTACCAGAGCTTCCCTGTTCTTTCTGGCCTGCTGGCTCCCATTATCACCTCTCAGGGCTGTTGGTAGCTGGCATAATTTAGAATAGGTTTTAGGCTGCTCTCTTCTTGATGCCACACTGCCTGCCCAAGAGTGCTCTCTGCATCTCTTTACCTACACTACATGCCCCTCCAGCAAGAGTTAAGGGCAGGATTGGGCTTCTAAAAGGGAGAGAAACATAGTTTTGTTGCTAGTGCTCCATGAGCACTGGAAAGCAGGAGACCATCCCATACAGATCACGGCACGTCAGGGCCCAGGAGGAAAAACCAGGCCATAATGTTTCTGATACCATAGCCCTGTCCCCTCCCCATCTATGAAGAGTAGCCTAGCATAAGAGCAAACCTGGTGGAGTACAAACTACTCTTGCAGTGGAGGGCATTCCCTTCAGCAATCCAACGCATTATTCCTGCTCCTTGACTATCCATCTGTAATGCTTTCAGAGGCCTTGCTCTAGCGGTGCTCCTCTAGCAGGACTCTGACTAAAAATATCAGCGAAGAATTCCAGAAGGCACTAAACAATGGAACAAGCTGCAAGAAAACATGTTTTTAAGGTGCCACATATCAACATGCTGAATTTGTGTGTGTACAGTAATGCCATCAGAGCGCAGCACAGAAAAGTGCTTTACAACAATAGCAAGTCATTTTTCGGTGTGAGGTGCTTGTTAGATTTCTATAACTGAATTTGTCACATTTATCATATTGCGGGTTGGACCACTCATATTTCAGATTAAAGCCAAACCATTTCATGCAATGTCAAATACTCCAAAGAAACAAATAATCCATCTTCATTAGTCTGCCTGTCCCCTGATGGTAGCTGGTGATACCAGTATCTCAGCTTCATCTGAAACATAGCATGGCCTCATCTTACTGTAGTTCCGTAGTTGCTCACAGAGTACCCAAAATGAAACTGGTTTTATGCTTTCAATTAACCAGTCTCTGAAATGCTCAGGTTATTTGCTTTCATCAGTTTGGGAGTTTTTTCACTAAATGTGAGGGCAAGTTTACACCCAGCCCTGCATGGACTGGGAGGGGCGGGGAGAAGATGGCGCACAGGACCGCTGCTTTGTGCACACATGCAGCAACAGGGCAAAGTATGGTCCTTTCACACTCCTGACCTCAGTGACTACACAGAGCTAGAGCTGAAGCCCGCCCAGAGTGACCATGCATTGCCCCCTTCTACACACACACACACACACACACACACACACACACACACACACACACA